AACCCCAAAAAAAAAAAAAAAAAAAAAAAAAAAAAAAAAAGGATAGTTTAAGGGGTCTCTGGGACTACATTATGCATACTAGTATCCACATAGTAGGGGTACCAGAAGGAGAAGAAAGAGAGAAAAGAGTAGAAAACCTATTTGAATAAATAATGACAGAAAACTCTCATTGTGGTGAAAGAAATAGACATACAGGTCCAGGAAGCACAGAGATCCCACACAAGATGAACCCAAAGAAACCCATCCCATGACACATAATTAAAATGCAAAAGGTTAAAAACCAAGAATCTTACAAGCAGCAAGAGAAAAGCAGTTAGTTACCTACAAGGGAGCTCCCATAAGACAGTCCGCTGATTTCTCAACAGAAACTTTGCAGGCCAGAAGGGAGTCGCAAAAAATATTCAAAGTGGTAAAAAGCAAGGACCTAACAACCAAGATTTACTCTACCCAACAAAGCTATCATTTAGAATTGAAGGAGAGATAAATAGCTTCCCAGACAGGAAAGAGCTAAAGGAGTTCATCACCAAACAGTATTACATGAAATGTTGAAGGACCTTCTTTAAGGAGAAGAAAGAAAAGATAAAAAATATTAATAATGAAATGGCAATAACTACATACCTACCAACAATTACTTTAAATGTAAATGGATTAAATGCTGCAATCAAAAACATAGAGTTACTGAATGAATAAGAGAATAATACCCATATATATACTGCTACTAGAGACCTACTTCAGATCTTAAGACACACAAAGATTGATTGTGAAGAGATGGAAAAAGATATTTCATGCAAATGGAAACCAAAAATGCTGGGGAGTAAAACTTCTCTTAGACAAAATAGACTTTAAAACAAAAGCTATAACAAGAGACAAAGAAGGACCCAGCAATTCCACTTTGAAAAGATATATGCATCTTTATGTTCATTGTAGCACTGTTTATGATAGCTAAGATATGGAAGCGACATAGGTGTCCGATGGGCAAGTGCATAAAGAAGAGGTGGTACATGTGTACAGTGCAATATGACTCAGCCATAAATGGAGTGAAATATTACCACTTGCACTAACAGATGAATCTGGAGGATGTTGTGCTGGGTGTGGTAGGATGGACAGAGAAAGACAAGTGTCGTATGATTTTACTTTCATGTGGAAAGAAAACATAAATGTACAGGCAAGGCAGAAGAATACTCATAGATAGAACATTCTGATGGTTGCTGGGTGGGAAGGGGTTTGCGGGGCTGGGTAAAAAGGGGGAAGGGATTAAGATATGCAAATTTCCAGTTACAAAAATAGTCATGGGGATATAAAGTACAATATAGGGAATATGGTCAGTAATACTGTAATAACTATGTGTGGTGCCAGGTGGCTTCTAGACTCACCAGGGGAATCATTTCCTAAGTTATAGAAGTGTCTAATCACTATGTGTACAACTGAAACTAATAAAATATTTTATGGCAGCTGTAATTGAAAAAGAAAAGCTATTTTAAACTAAAATTAGGTACATAAAAATAATACACATCTGAAATTTAGGTCAAAGATTAATTTCTTTTAATATTTTCTGTTTTCTGTGTTTCTGCTGTTTTTCTAAAATGATATGTTTTAACTTAGGAAATAATTTTACTTTATCATATATAGTTCCAAATTGCATTGTTATAGATCTTTTCAGTGTGAAATTTGTGTATATTTTTATTTGAGTAGGTTGAAAAATACTGGGCTGAAAGGAATCTCTGAGAAACTCTTTCTCTATTTAAACTATTTCTGAGAGATTGTTGTATATACCTTAGTCATAAAGAAAGGAAATTTTATATTATTTATTTATAGCCTGTTGTTTAAATGGCAGTGAGAAGAAATAACATTTTCTTTGTTTTATAAATAAGATTCAGTTTACCGAAGTCTGTATAAGAATCGAATTAGTTATATTTCCTAGCAGTGAGTAAAAACTCATTGAATTCAGAATCATACCACTCTTCAGATGATATAAATGTGCTATCACTGAATTTCATAATCATGGTGAAAATATGGCTCCTCCTTTTTAATCACAGTGGCCCAGTTTCAATAACATTGTTACACACACACACACACACAATATGATTACTTTTCTAGCCATCTTCCGCCTCAGTAGAGCAGTGAAATGTGAGGCAGTAAAACTCCTGGAGTTATTTTGCTCTTCTCAGCTCGGCTCCCGTTTAAAGCACCAGGCCCGGCGACCCCTGCCGGGGTGCCCGGCCGCCCCAGCACTGGCTCCCCGCGCACTGTGCGCACTGTGCCAGCCTGCAGCGCCGCCTGCTTGTCTGGGGCGCTGCTTCCGTTTCCCCGCGCGCTCTGCACGGCGGCTTTGACTCCGCCGCAGCTGACTTTCCTACATTTGTTTCCTGTTCGTTTCCTTAGCCCTCCAGGAAAGGTAGGATTAAATTATAGAAGTTAAGGTGGGGAAAAAGGAAACTGTGGTGGTCAATGCAAAGAATATTAGTGGTATCATTTCACTTAAATCTTGACCTTTATTGTTGACACTATTAAAGATGCCCCCATTTTTACCCCCTGTGCCCACTTCCATCCAGCCCCCGCCTTCCCTCCCTCTAGCCATCACCACATTGCTGTCTGTGTCTATGCCACTTAATTTTTTACTGTAGAATATAATAGAACAGCTACTATAAAACTTTTTTAAAATGTGTGTACCTACTTTGTCCAAGCACCAGCAGAAGCATATGGCTCAACACTCATGGAGCTTGTGGTCTAATTAAGGTAAAAACAAACAAAAAACCCAAAGCAAAGTAACTTAAGAGTCACAACTATAAGTTAAAAATTTCAAGTGAGTTAAGTGCTACTGAGTGAAGGTCATGGAGCTGGGAAGGCAAGCATACTACGTGGCACTCCACTAGGCAGGGAGGCGGGCAGGCTTCTTGAGGAAGTGCCAAGTGAGCTAGTATCTGAGGGGTAAGGAGGAGGCAACTAGAACTGGGAGAGAAGCGCACTCTAGGCTGATGAAGTCATTAAATTCCGAGGCCCTGGCGAGAGGAAGCATGGTACAAAGGAGGGACAGTGAAGGCCGGAGCAGGGAAGGGAATTCAAGGGAAGCTGGAGAAGCGGGTGTGCTCCACACCGTGCTGAGTCATTTTTGCTATGCTAAGAATAATGGGAAACCGTGGCAGTTTTTAAGCAGGTGAGTGACACCATCAGATTTGCCTGTTGAAAGGCCATCTGGCTGCAGTGTGGGAAATGGGTTGGGAGGATGGGTCTGTGGCAAGCGTTGGTGGAGGGAGACCAAGAGGAGGCTGTTGCGGTACTCCAGTGACAGCTGATGGGACCTGGGATTTAGGGTGGTTGTGATAGAAAATGAGAGAAGGAAACAGATGTGAGAAGTACTTACAAAGTAAAGCTAATAGGACATGGAAATACATCATATGTAGGGGGTGAGGGAGACAGAGATGATTAAACAACTTAGGTATTTTGAAAGAGTACTAGGTTTGGAGATTAGTGGTTTTGGATAGGTTGAAATTGAAAAGGCTTCGAGATATCCCAAAGGGATCCCAGGCAGACCACTGGATGTCTTAGTCTGAAGCTCACACGGAAGTGTGCCCGTAGGTCTGCTATCTGTGAATACACTGGCCGTGGGTGTGAAGCTGGAGAAAGTATAAAATTAGAAGACAGGACCTGGGAGCAAGCCTTGAGGAATCCCAAATGATGGGATTACAGTTTACTGTGTTAGTTACTGGTTCCAAAAAGCAAAAACAAGAAGGACCGGATATACAGTCCATTGGTTGTGCAGTGATTGCATTGCTTATAATATGAGGTGTCCAAAAAAGTTCATACACATACCTCGAGTAATTATAAAGGCAGTGTTTATTAAAACATTTCATTTTCAAAATTGAGCTATCAGCTGTTACAGTGTGTAGACATTTTGGGGGTACACCCTGTAGTTTAAAATTACTTCGTTCTTCCAATCCCATTCGGAAGTGTGTATCTGCTTCCTTTCTGGTGTGGGGTGCTGCACAGGAGATGGGAGCCACCTGAGGGTGGTGCTTAATATTCTTTCATGTCTGCCTTTTTTGATCAAAAATCTTTTCCAGTTCATGTTCCAATTTTTGTCAAGAGTTTTCTTTAGGTATAATGTTGCAGTCTACAGAATGCAATTCTACTTATTTTTTCTGGCAGCCTTTTTCCTGTAAGCCTTTTTTTTTTTTTGGTTTAGTGTTTTAATGTCACAGTGTTTGAATTAATAAAATGTAGACAGATTTAATGTTTTCAGATAGTTTTTATCTGTTCATTATATTTTATGTTTTATCCCCCTGCCACCCCTCCCCCCATCTGCTCATTTTAAATAGACACTCATCCAAGTGGGATTTTTAAAAAAGATTTTTAAAATTGATTTTTAGAGAGGGAGAGAGAGAGAGAAACATGAGTGTGAGAGTGAAACATGGTCGGCTGCCTCCTGTACGCCCCCTACCAGGGATCAAACCCACAACCCGGGCATGTGCCGTGACCAGGAACCAAACAGGCAACGATTTGGTGCACGGGACAATACCCAACCAGCTGAGCCACACTGGCCAGGGCCCAAGTGGAGTTTTTAAAAGTGTTTTTCTTGTCAGGTCTGCGAATACTTGTAAATGTTTTTCTACATAAAATATGGGTGCTATTATAAGTAAGATGTTGTGAACAGAGTTTTTCAGAAATGCTTCATGTTTCCCAGGGGGCTAATCTGCCCGCTGGTGGGCCAGAGCGCAGTTCTGGCGGACTGGACTTGGTCTTCACCCATGTGTTACGGCTCAGCATTCTATTCTTTTGTTACTTCATGATCTCTAAAAGTGTCTTCCTGGAGAAATGTATTGTAAAACTATCCTGGGTTACATTACTGTTCTCTGGTACTCCCAGGAATATATATCTATGAAGGTACCTCTGGCCAAAAACGGAAGTTGGTTGGTTGGTTGGTTTTTATCTGCATGTTTATTCACTTAGCAAATTTTTTGAGCACTCACAATGTATTAGACACTATTTGGGACATTTACATTTAGGACATTGGTTAATAAAACAAAGTTTCTTACCCTGGAAGAGCTCGCCCAGTGAGTGGCAGAGTTAGTACTAGGCACACTACGTGGACTTTACCCCGTGTTTAAATGGTAAGTACTAAGGGAAAGAAAGAGAAGCAGAATTGGGGTTGGGAGTGGGAGCATGGGGTTTGCAGTTTTAAATACGGCGCTGAGTAGGTAGTGAGCAGACCTGGCGTGCGGGAGTTGGCCAGGTGGCACCAGGTGGGGCTCTTCCAGGGGGACGTGCCCATGTGCAGGCCGAAGGCCGGTCAGAGACCAGCACGGGAGCGAGGAGGCGAGGAGAGGTGGGCTCTGCCAGCATTGTGAGGCATTCGGTCTCCACTCGGGGATATGGGGTGCAAGGGAGGGTGCGGGCTCACGGCACAACCTGCAGCAGTGGCCCGGGTCCCCGTTCCCTTCACGCACAGGACACTGGTAGGAACCTGGGATGGGCGGCACTGAGCTGTGTGGGCGGCTGCAAGCAAGCCCAGCGTGTCACAAGATGGCTTCAAATGGACCTTCATCGGCGGTTCTTGGAAAGGTCGGGCCTGCTCCACAGCCCACAGCCCACCAGGAGCACATCCAGTTTATGGGGTGAGGCCTCAGGCCTGCAGGAGCTGTGTCACAGCGTGAGCAGCCCCCCTGGTGCAGGCGCTCCGACGGCAGGGGACCTCGCACAGCTGAGGCCTGTTTCTCGGGGTGCACTTGCTGTGTGTGCCGTCGGGGTCTCTGAGCTCACCCAGTCTGCCTGGTCCAAAGGCAGTTTCCCAGCGGTGGTTATTGTTATAATGTTGGCAACAGCTGTCCTCTGTATTTTTCTTAACATAATATGTTTTCAAGGAAACCGCTTTAATAGATGATAGCACGAGGTTCCCATGGAGAAAGTTCTGACCTGCAGTTAATCCTTTCTCTGGGAGTTACTACAGGGTTTTGAGTAGGAAAGCAACACTTGGCATTTTAAAAGAATTACTCTGGTTGCTGTGTTGAGAATAGATTTTAGGGAGATCAGAGTAGGAGAAGGGAGACCTGGGAGGCTGTTAAGATAATCCAAGCAAGAAATGACGGTGGCTTGAAGTTGAGATGTAATGACAAGGGTTATATCCTAAATATATTTTGAAAGTAGAACCTAAAGGTTTTGCTGGGCGTTAAATGTGTGGTTTAAAAGAAAAGTGAGTCAAGGATGATTCAAGGACATTTGGGTGCAGCAACTAGGAGGGAATTGCCCTCCAGTGAGGCAGGGAGGTCTGCAAGTGCAGTGCATTGGGACAGATGAGTTCAGGTGGCACATGTAGGGCGCCCATTTGGGGACAGCAGCTGAGGACCTAAACAAGTGGGATTTAAGAGAGGTTTAGAGATACTGATTATTATATAAATACAGGTTGAGTTTAGAGATGTAAATCTGAAAGTCTGACATATATGGCATTTAAACCATTATTAGACAAGACTGAATGAGGCCACCTTGGGAGTGAGCATAGAGAGAAAAGGGAATGGAACTGAGCCTTCGGGGGTGGGGGTCTGCATGTGGCACCAGTTTGTTTTCTGTGTGACTGCTCCAACTCTGGGAAAGACCTTACCATATAAAACTTAATATTTTTTTTCAGATTTTGAGAGGTTTTTTTGAAAAGTTTTCTTCTTAATGAGGCTACAGCTGATACAAATGTTATTTAATTCTTTGAATCCAAAAGCATATTTAAGCTTATTGAAGTAAGAAGCGTTATCTGATTTTTTTCTTCCTTTTTTAGGGATGATTTGGTCAGACATTAAAAGACTGTGGTATGAAGGGTTGGAAGACTTTTTAGAAGAATCTCGTAATCAACTCAGTTTTGTCATGAATTCCCTTTATTTGGCAACCTTTGCCCTCAAAGTGGTTGCTCACAACAAGGTGACTATTAACTCAACTGGAGGCACAATGAAGTTTATTTAGAGAAAACCTGAGATGTTTAGCCACCAAAGTCAGAGTTACATTGGCTCAAATCTGTACCTGATGTGTTTTCATTTTAACCCTGTCCCTGTGGAAGGGAGTGGTGCCCACTGCTCCCTTCCTCACCCAGTCTACAGGTGGCTGATCACCTGTGAGCGCTGGTTCTGTCACGTGCCAGCACCGTGGTTCATACTTGCTATACTTTATCTATTCTATCCTCACAGGGACTCTATGAGGCTCTATGTTCTTATCCCCATTTTCAGATAAGGAAAATGAAGCTCAGAAATATTAAGTAACTTGCCCAAGACCACACAGTCAGAAGCCAAGACTGGAGTTAAATCCAGGTCTGTCTAGGCATTTTCTTTCTACCAATGCTGACTCCTTATATATGAGTTAGGTTTACGTACCTCATTCATGTGTATGTACTTAAAATGAAAACACAAAGCTAGTTAAGTAGTGTTAGATATCTTTATATCTGCCAGAAAAAAATGTTTATCTGAATTGAATTCATTATAAAAGATACAGTATTTTCTGGTTTTTTATTTTACTTTATTTTATTTTTTACTAATTTATAGACTATAGAAAAGGTGAACTGGTTATCTAATATCATTTTACTTTATTAAAAAACACTATTCCTTTAAGTAATCAGTGGTATGGAACATGTTAGATACGTTCAGTGACCAGAATTGTGAAATAACTGAAAAATAAAAATTGGTTGTACATAGATATACAGTTAATACAGAGTCAAGGATCATTGTTTTTTACACTAGTCTCTAGTTCTGGAAGTGGGACGCCCAGATCATGTATTAACCAAACCAGGGTATTTTGAGAATGAAAGAGGAGGGGCAGTGTTAACAATTATGCCAAGAAAACTGGTACATAATCTGCGACTATCCGAGGCAGTTGGAACGTGTGTCCACTCTCTGTCTAGATAACAGTGCACTCCTGGGCATTTAGACGGGAGAACTTCCATGGTTCACTCTAGAATCCTGAGTCAAGGGGCTAGGCTAATTTAATATGACAGCTAATTAATTGACATGTTAACATACTTCAAATTTGTGTTGTAGAATTTAAGAAAAACTAGCAATCATTTATTCATAAAAAGTTTAATGACAATTTTTAAAACTTTTAATTTTTTTAAACCTAACGATATCTGAGAAAACCTCATATAGAGCAGTGATATTGCCTCACCAATGTAGAAATACTTCATTAAGACAATGTTACTTCTATTAAAAGAAGAGAACTTTATAAAACGTAAACAATCTCCCACAAGGAGACAATTAAAAGGTTTTTTGAGTAATTGGAGTAAGTTTTATTTCCCTTTGGCTCTGTCTTCCTCAGTTTCATGACTTCGCTGAGCGGAAGGACTGGGACGCGTTTCACCCCACGCTGGTGGCAGAAGGCCTTTTTGCATTTGCAAATGTCCTCAGTTACCTCCGGCTCTTCTTCATGTACACAACAAGCTCTGTCTTAGGTCCGTTACAGGTAAATAAAATTCCATACAGAATATTTGGTAGGGGTCATTATTGTTACCACCTTGCTGCTTGTCACTAGAGCATTGTCATCTCACGATGTTGAAGCTCACCTTTGCTTTTGAAAATAATTGAAAAGACAGCGTGTTCATCTCCTTTGCTTCTGTCTGAATGGTAACCCTTTGCTTTCAGGTTTTCAGACTTTCCAAACTGAAGTCCATTGTCCCTCTCTCCCCAGTCCACAGACATAGATGTCTTTTAAATAGAGTTATACTTCAGACATTAGAGGGACATAAAAATCTGCTTCTTAACAAAGTGAATCTCACATTTAAAGTTTTAAGTGATAAATATAAGGGAGGTGTTGTATAAACAGAATTTATACTACATGGTTTTGAAAACATGTAAGCTAAATTTAAAAAATACTCTCATTGTGCAAATAAGTATTAAATGTAATAAGTTGGAAAATAGCATATTTAGACAAAAAATTTCATAGAGTACATGTAGTCCAGTCTTATTTGTTATAGCATTTTATAGTTAAAGACATTGAGCTTTTGAGATGGTATGTGATTTGTTCAAAGTAGTGTATTATGCATGAGAGTCCAGGATTAAATCCTAAGTCTCTTTACACTAAAGAAAGGACTCATAATTGGTTGAATTTACCCCACAGATTTTAGTAGTTGGTTATTTCTAGGAGGTGGGGTCAATTCTGCCAGGTAATTGGCTCTACATATATTCTAAGTTAGAAGTCTGAAAATATGAGCAGTATTTATTTTTCTTGATAAATCAAAATTTACTGACAATTTAGATTCTCCTTTATATCTTTAAAGGAGATAGTTTAAATAAAAGGCATAATTACCTTCTCCAGAAATATGAAATGTAAAATATGGAGGGAAAACCTGGTTTGATTTGGTCTGTGCTGTCAGCCTGCAACAGTGTTTCCTGGAGTGTTGTGGCAGGTACCCCTCCCAGACACCAGAGAGGTGTTACAGAACAGCCCCCTGCGTCAGAGGGAGAGGGCCGTCCCCACCTCTGTTCTTGTCATGCTCACTGGAATGAATTCAAACAAGTGACTCCGGATAATAATTGCATTGTGTTAAAGTGAATTTATTTATAAAATTAAAACATGCACATTTGTTAAATAAGCAAGGCAAGCAAACCTATGCATCTGGCTTAGGAGGCACAGATGGGCTCTCAGCTAATTTGATGAGTGAGTGGGGTGTGCAGTTTCTGCCTTATATACCTTCCAGTCTATAAATGGTGGTGGTGGTTTTTAATTCCTCTGCTAGATATCCTGGAATAGATTAACGCTGAAGGTCTCCCCTTTTCTTTGTTATGGCTTTTCCACAACTTATGAGAAGCACCTGACATTAAATCCTGAGACAGCTGGCTTTTCTGTTTAAACAGGGGGATGAGATAAGACTGCACCCCTCCTTCTCCCTCCTCCCTGATGTTCTAACAGCTCCAGTGTGATTTGCACTAAGTAGTCTCTGGTTAGTGAGAAGTTGAATTAGGATTCCTCCTCCTCTCTCCCTTTCTTTCCCCCTCCTCTCCTGCATTGTTTTGTGAGAAGGAGAGGTTTTAACCCTTTGTTCTCATGATAAGGTCCTGCTACATGTGGCCTGCAAAGCTTTCTGGCTTTGTTTAATTTTTCTGCCTTGGTTTCCATATTCCACTTGTCTAGGAATTTTCCTTACTTTTCATTGTCCTATAACAGTGTGAAATAAGTTTGGGACACACTGCATTCCATATACTTCTTTGGTGAATTCACAGTTCATTATCACATTAAAGCCTGTGAGAAAGAAGTACAGAAACTTGTTAACATTGTTCAAACTATCATTACTTAAATTTGTTTAAAGCCAAACCCATATTTTATGAAATGTGCTTAGGTCTCTGTTTTCCCCCAAAACATAGTATGTGAAACACTGGTTTAGACCATCTCTTATTTTAATTTAATTTTGCCACTAATATCTTTTATGAATGTTTTATTCAAGAGTCAACAGTATTTTTACATTCACATTGATTTTTCTGGCTAAAAACTAATGGTATCACTAAGTTTGCATGCTAGAAATTTCTTTATAAATTTCTACAAAGAATTAAAAAGGAGAAAGTATATTATTATTTCTTTTTTTAAATCTTTATTGTTGAGAATATTATAGATGTTTCACCCCCCCTTTTTTTCCCCATTGCCCCCTCCACCCGATCCCACCCCACCCCAGGTCTTCACCACTCTGTTGTCTGTATCCATGGGTAATGCATATATGCATAAAAGTTCTTTGGTTAATCTCTCCCCGCTCCCCCTTCCCTTTTATCTTTTTCTTCTTCTTCTTCTTAATGAAGGCCCTTTAACATTTCATGTAATACTGGTTTGGTGGTGACGAACTCCTTTAGCTTTTTCTTGCCTGGGAAGCTCTTTATCTGGCCTTCAGTGCTAAATGATAGCCTTGCTGGGTAGTCATCTTGGTTGTAGGTTCTTGTTTTTTTATTACTTTGAATATTTCTGGCCACTCCCTTCTGGCCTGAAAAGATTCTGTTGAGAAATCAGCTGACAGTCGTATGGGTGCCCCCTTGTAGGTAACTAACTGCTTTTCTCTTGCTACTTTTAGGATTCTCTCTTTGTCTTTAACCTTTGGCATTTTAATTATGATGTGTCTTGGTGTTGGGCCTCTTTGGCTTCCTCTTGTTTGGGACTCTCTGTGCTTCTTGGACTTGTAAGTCTATTTCTTTCCCCAAGTAGGGGAAGTTTTGTATCATTATTTCTTCAAATAGGTTTTCAATTTCTTGCTCTCTTTCTTCCCCTTCTGGCATCCCAATAATATGAATGTTGGGCCTCTTGAAGTTGTCCCAGAGGCTCCTTACATTATCTTCATATTTTTGGATTCTTTTTTCTTTTTGCTGTTCTGACTGGGTGTTTTTTGCTTCCTCATGTTCCAAATTGCTGATTTGATTCTCAGCGTCCTCTACTCTACTGTTGATTCCCTGTCAGTTATTCTTCATTTCAGTTCCTGTAGCCTTCATTTCAAATTGGTACTTCATTATGTTATCGATTTTCTCAGTTATTTCCCTAACCATTTGCTTAAACATCCTTATAACCAAAATTCTGAACTCTCTGTTAGCTAGCTATGGCTAGCAGGAGCCCACAAACTATCCTGCTGGGAGAGACAAGAGCACAGCAGCGGAACTGCCAAATGCAGCCTTGTGCACACATCTGTAGCTCTTCTGGGAAGAGGCTAAGTCAAGAAGACCCGAGTCAACAGTTTTAGGAAATATAAATAGATAATCCAGTAAAAAATAATAACATACTGATTCCAGTCAGGATGGCGGAGTAGGTAAATGCAGTACTTGCCTCCCCCCACAACCACATCAAAATTACAACTAAACCACAGTACTACCATCATTCAGAACCGCCTGAAATCTGGCTGAACAGAAGCCCTACAACTAGGGAATTAAAGAAGCAGCTACGCTGAAACTGGTAGGAGGGGCCAAGGCGCAGAACCGACACCCATGTGGGGCGTTTCTTTAATTGGGAGTAAAATCTCAGCTGCAGAGATTCCACTCTGAGGAGCAAGGGGTCCCAGCCCCACACCAGACCTTTCAGCACAGGGTTCCAGTGCCAGGAAGAGAAGTCCCTGTAACTTAAGGCTATAAAAACCAGTGGGGATTATGGCTGAGTGAGACAGAGGCTGCCGGAGTCCCAGTCCCTTAAAGGGCTGGCGCATGGACTTACTTGAACTCACGCTCTCTAAGCTCCACTGCTGGGGCAGCAGCTTGAAAGGATCCAGGGACATAGAGGGGGAACTAAATAGTTGGGCATCAGGGCAAGAACTGGGTGGGCAGCTCTCTCCCAGACCACAGTGCTGGCAGAGGTCATTGTTCCATTGCTGAGACTTCCCCACCACACTGCTGATAGGCAGTCGCCACATCTGAGTCTCCATCAACCTAGTTCACACTGTTCACCCTGCCCTGGTGACTCCTTGAGACCCCCCACTCCACCCAATTTGCAGCCCCACCAAAGCTGTTTGCAGTGACTTTTCCATATAAATGGCCTGTCCTAGCTCAGGCTTCAGGCTCTCCTAAAACAAGCAGCAGCTGGCCTCAGTGTGCCCCATAACTCTCAATAAGGGGGGCCCCAGGCCCAGCGCTAGCAGCCTCCAGCATTTGTTCACAGGTTGGCCTCTCCCGGGCTCCTCCAAGCCCAGCACAAATAGCAGCCATCTGCAGATCGCTCTGTAGCTGATGACGGGTGGCCCCAGGCAGGGCACAGCAGTAGCTGACTTTGTACCTCCTAGGAAACCCCAGAGCCCGTGCACTGGTGGTCAGTTCAGACCACACCAGATTCCAGTCCTACCACATGCACGAGCGACACGCTCAAGGGGCGCACTTGGTGAACACCAAAGCTCCACTACAGTAAATCCTGCTTCATAGGATAGAACACAGGAACTGCTTTAAATAACTATAGAAAGTACTGCCTTCAAAGAAAATGTAGACACTGTAAACATAAACAGGCTTTTCAGAGTGACCATGTATGATGTTATCATTTCAATTTTAAAAATTTAGTCCCAAAGTAGAAGCTTTAATGTAACATTACTAAGTTTTAAAGAGCAATTCAACTTTAATATCAAGATGAGCAATATTTAATAAGAAAACCACAAACTTCCTGACTTGCTCTGCGAAAGCATGATAGCAGTTCTTGTATAATATGAACAACCAGAAGCAACCTCAGTGGGCCTCACAGAGGAGACATCAGCTTGAGTAGCACGTGAACCATTCATGAGAAAGGCAAACACTAAAAACAGTACATTTATTTTACTCTGAGAAGGACTGTTTATTTAACTTATTAGCAGTTTTACTTAAGAAATATGAAAATTAACAGGCTGGACAGCAGGCCCAGGTTTTCTGCCTCCTGCTCTCTGTTTTCCCCCATTTCTGGCTGGAGGCAGACTTGGTGTGTGATGGAGCAAGGAGCCTGCCAGTCACACTCTACAGACAGCAGATGGCCTTCTGTCTGAGATTTGCTTTGCAACATCATATTAATTCTATCTGTACTTCCAAATCCTTCAGTGCTGAGACTCGTCTATACTAGACAATCACATGCATATAATCAGTGGTTGACTGGAACAAGGGTGGGGAAAATACTAAATGCAAAAAGGCATCAAGGAACTTTTTGGAGGAACGCAGATGTTCTGTATCATGATTACGGTGGTGATGAGAAACAAGTTTATACATTTGCAAAACTCTTCAAACTATACTGTTAAGATGGGTACATTTTATTCTATGCAAATTATGCCTCAATAAAGATAATTTTTAAAAAATCATTTGCTGAACTAAGTCATAATATTTAAGCATATATTATGATTAACTTACAGACATTTTTAAAAAATAGAAACACAGTAACTGTTGGACTGACTTAAATTACTGGCTGTTATAACTTACTAAGTTCTCTACAGTAGGGTGTGGCTTTCTTCTATGCATGCATGCTCTGAGTAAATGATTTCTTTTCCAAGATGACCCCCACATTCTGAGCTTTCCAATTCTAAAAACTCCTGTTTCTTTTGTCAGGATCTGGCAAGTGAGGTAAGTGTACGATTTTGAAAAGTGCCACAGGGTCCAGTCACATGCTCAAGTCAAGTATATTGGACCTCTGTCAGCTACAGAGCCAAGTCACTAGCTCGTGGGGTGCCTGACATCGTAGCATACCTCTCACGCTTAGCTGGCTGGCTCACTTCAGTGTGCAGGAGGGCTTGGCTACTTGCCTGCTCTTACCATTTTATATCACTGGTGTTATGTTATTTTGGAAGCCTTGAGGCAATTAGGGACTTTATTTGAAGCTGGATTTAATTATATAAATTTGACCTGGTTAAATTTGAGGAAGGATTATTTTGAAACACTCCTTTTTGTACTTTAAAAGTAATAAATGCATATAGTAAAAAAATTCAGAGTGAGAAAGTCTGCCTTCCACTCCTAGCCCTGCCTTCTATAGATGAGCATTATTGACAGTTTCTCTGTAAGCTTCCAGAGATTCCCTGTGCGTATGATACCATATCTATCCAAAAATATATATCTGACATACCCTTTAAAAAATAGAAACGGGAGCTGTTATAATACTATTATATACCCTGATTTTTTGATTTGATATTTTCCGGATACCTTTCTATGCCCACACATACAGCTAGCTGTCCATTCTGTTTGGCCATTGCTGTTTAACAGGTAGGATGTCCTCGTTTTCTTGCTGCGTCTAGCAGTGCTGCAGTGGAAATCCTTGTAGATACATTCACCTCTGTGCATTTCCTACCTAGTGGCTGACTTTGTAGGGAGAGAATTGCTGAGTCAAAAGAGTAATATCAAATTATTCTCCAAATTTGTATGCCAATTTAAACACCATAAATTTGTGAAAGGTACTAATTCCCCAGGTTTTGAAGAAGTATTGAAGAAAAATGACGTTAGGCCTGGATTAAGCCTACATTACAGAAGATACTCATGTTAATACTAGACCCTCCCATTTGGCTTTCACACTAGTATTTTCTTACAGTGGACCCAAAATGAAAGAAAATCAATTATCTCAGCAAAAGAGATTAGTCCTGGAGGAAGAGCTGCTGTCCTTGGGGAATTGGTTTAGAATTGGCTGCCAAAATTAAGTAAAATACTTTGTCATATTGATTATATATTTGCAAAATTTAAGAAGCTATAAAAATAAGCACTTATTTCCCTTTAGATTCGAGCAAGGAATGTTCCTCTTATTCCTTGCAAACTAGGCTCCTTCTTAGATCTCCATGTTCCTGCCTCTCCCTTCATAGCAGTAAAATCCCTGGCAGATGTGGCCTGATTAGAATGGCTTTTTGTTAGGTGGCTGGAGTTTTGTTTGAAAAGAGCTAACCTATCTCAACCAGATGGAACAGAAGCAGTAGTTGTGGCTTATATGTTTGTCTTCCTGGTCACTTACTATTTAATATTTTGTTTTCCTGATAAGTTTTATGAACACCTATGTAATATATTCCACAGATTTCAATGGGACAGATGCTTCAAGATTTTGGGAAATTTCTGGGGATGTTCCTTCTTGTTTTGTTTTCGTTCACAATTGGGCTGACACAGCTGTATGATAAAGGCTACACCCCAAAGGAACAGAAAGACTGCGTGGGCATCTTCTGTGAGCAGCAGAGCAACGACACCTTCCACTCGTGAGTGTCTGAAAATTGTTAGTAGAAATTCCATCGTGCTATGTATGAATTAGTATCTACAGAACAAGAACTTCAAATTTCCTCTAAGGAATTCCTTTTTAATAAGAAAGACTGTAATTAGTGGGCCCCCCTTAGGCCACTGGCTCCCCTCCTGCATCTGAACGGGGACCTCGGCACTGGGCGCGCTGCCGGCACCGGGGACAGTGCAGTTCCCCGTCGGGCGTGTACAGTGCGGGATGGTTACAGCTCTGCTTCCGTCACTGTGACAACCAGACTCTCACATTTGCAACACTTGTTAGGTTGTTAGAATGGACAGTTATTAGAGCTTTAAGGATGACTTTTCTCTAGTTTACTGTTATCATGATACAGACATCCTCTAATTATGTTCGGTGAGGACTTGAACAACCAGCTGGGAGGCAGACAGATGTCGCCCTCATTCTTAAGCTAGAGAGCAGGGGCGGGGATGGCACCCTGGCCGTGCTCCTGGTTTCCGCCAGCCCTTCCTCAGGTGCCCTGGAGTCCTTAGGAAATGAGAGTGAGGGAGTCAGAAGCACGCACCCGACACCTGCTGCGAATGCGTCTAAATGCCAGGGAGTGAAGCACCAGGGAGCAGAGCTGCCTCCTGGGGCCTCTGTTCCCCTGAGGCATCCAGGCGACAAAGGATGAGAGACGCAGCCTGTCCCAGCGAGAGGGTGACGGGAGCGTGGCGGGGGCTTGTGTGGGAGGGTGCAGTCTCAGGAGGCCAGGGGAGGCCCGTGGAGACGCTCAGCAGAGGTGTCACACGGGAGGGCCCGAGGTTGTGGGCAGAGGGCAAGGCCCCGGGAGCGCCAAGCGCCCGGGAGATGGGGTCAGAAAGGTGAGGGGCCATGGAGGACCCCGTGAGCCCCTGAAGGACTTCGGGCGCTGGGACAGCTGTCTGATACTTCTGAGCAGAGGAGTGAAAATCTGATTAGGCCTTAATAGGACCATAGGCGTTGCTGTGTTAGGAATGGACAGAAAGGATATAAGAATAATTTCTCTCCCTTTTGAGTCTATTTCTTTGTTTAAAATAAGGCATATCTGTGCTGTTGGGTTCTCCTCATTTATTTTATAAAGTATTATTCTTGGATTATCAATGATTTCTTTACATAATGCTGATATAAATGAATTCTTCATTTTTGCTAACGAATTTCTTTAATTTTCTTTTAAACAAAAATGTAATCATCTTTACAGGTTCATTGGCACTTGCTTTGCTTTGTTCTGGTATATTTTCTCCTTAGCGCATGTGGCAATCTTTGTCACAAGATTTAGCTACGGAGAGGAACTGCAGTCCTTTGTTGGCGCGGTTATCGTTGGGACGTACAACGTGGTGGTTGTGATTGTGCTCACCAAGCTGCTGGTTGCCATGCTCCACAAAAGCTTCCAGTTGATAGCAGTAAGTGCTCATTCTTTCACTCACTTATGTTCCCTTCAGAGCACACCAGTGTACGCACCGGGTAAGGCAACCAAATAGTGGAAGAATTAAGAATTATCATTTTAAAATTAGATTTCAAATGCAAGTAATGTATATTAACAGCCAGTCTTGAACCAGATATTTACCTACCAGATGTGGAAACATGGACAGTTTAAAATGATCCCTCTTTTCCCCACGCCCATGTCTGAGTGTGTCTGTGTGCATGCGTGTGCACACGCTTATGTCCTTTTCTGCTTTTCCGTTTGTCTTATAGAATCATGAAGACAAAGAGTGGAAGTTTGCCCGCGCAAAGTTGTGGCTTAGCTACTTCGATGACAAGTGTACGTTACCCCCACCGTTTAACATCATTCCTTCACCGAAGACTATCTGCTATATGATCAGCAGCCTTAGCAAATGGATTTGCTCGCATACATCAAAAGGCAAGGTTAAACGGCAGAACAGTTTAAAGGTAAGAGACTGGACTTGCAACATAGAAATTCTCATAATTCCTGATCGCAGATGTTTCCAAAGGCATAAATATGCAGGCTTCTTAAGGCCCGGGACTGTCTGAGTTTTCCCCTCCTGTACCCCTAATGCACGGCATAGATACGACATAAAGTAAGGATTCAGTAAGTGCTTTTGAGAACGAGAGATAGAGCTACAATTTTTTCATGAAATTTCGTCTCAGTTTTAAAACATGGAAAATACTTGTATTCAGAATCCCTATTCTGTGAGCATAGATGCTGATTGACTGGAATCAGCTCATATCTTTCTGGTTCTTCTTGAAAGTTACTCAGTACATGAATAATTCAGTACATGTTGCTATAAACCAGAAGTTGGCAAACTTTTTCTGTAGAGGGACAGATAGTAAATAATTTAGACTTTACAGGCTGAGACAAAAACCAGAGATTTATATGAGTAGTAATATAATAAGAAAGAACATATATTTCCTCTAAATTTTTAATTATGAAATAAAAAATGTAACAGTAATTGAGTAATAGTTTTTATAATACAGATCTATTAATGAAAAGAATGGAATTCCACTTTAGGGGGGATAACATTTTGTTTAATTGGGGTTCAAAATTACTGTTCCCTCCCTAGCTGGGTCACTCAGTTGGTTAGAGCACCATCACAATACGCCAAGGTTATGGGTTCGATCCCCAGTCAGGGCACATATAAGAATCAGCCAGTGAGTACTTAAGTGAGCGGAACGACAAGTCAGTGTCTCTCTCTCTCTCTCTCTTTCTCTCTCTCTCTCCTCCCTCCCCTCTTCCCTCCCCCTTTCTCTATAAAAAAAATCAATACTTAAAGAAATTGCTGTTCTCTGTCATTAAACTAATAACAAATGTTCATCTGTAACATCATTCTTAGTCGACAGGCCACTAAAACCAGGAGGTGGGTCAATCTGACCTGTGTGTGGGTCGTAGTTTGCTGATTTCTCCTATAAACTGAGGATGCCTGTGACTATTTTTGAATCAAAATAAGCACACAGGTGAATGAATGAAACAAATATGCAGGCTGTATTTGTTTTAAACAAGTGTTGAGGGTGGTTTTATAGAGTGGCGAAAGTGTAGTTTAATAAAGCATTAGAAGGTATGTGTTTGTATCTGTGAATATTTTTTAAAAACCCGCCTCGTTTAAATATCGCCTGTTCCCATTGTTGGTACCGTATCGTGGCTTGTGTTGAAGGAGTGGAGGGACTTGAAACAGAAGCGAGATGAGAACTACCAGAAAGTGATGTGCTGCCTGGCGCACCGCTACCTGACGTCCACGCGCCAGAGGATGCAGAGCTCGGACCAGGCCACTGTGGAGAATCTGAACGAGCTGCGCCAGGACCTGGCCGAGTTCCGAAATGAAATCAGGGATTTGCTTGGCTTTCGGACTTCTAAATATGCTGTGCTTTATCCAAGAAATTAACCATTTTTTAAGTCATATAGAGGATAATTTTCAGTAATCTGAAAGACTATATTTGCATAACTCGCAATTAAATCAATAAGATATATATTGAAATAAGGAATTATGTAAAAGCCATTCTTTAAAATATTTGTAGCATAAATGTGTTATGTAAAATATGTATATAGAATTAATTAGTTTTTTAAAACCCTCTGTTGGTAGCTTTTTGCAAAGCAAAATAGATTAAGTAGATAGGTTTTGTGAGTATGCTGCTTGGTTTTCTTATTGGAATAATGCTCTAAAGTTTTTTCTTTTTATGTTAAGAAGAGTAGTTATAATTGTACTCATTGCCAGAAAGTTCTATAAATGAAGACCAGTAAATGTGGGCTGATCTCTGTCCATGGAATAACTTGAAATGTTGAAGTCACAGTTTATAAAATCTCTGTTTTAGGACTTCACATATAATATAGTGTTTATTGTTTAGGAGTATAGTTTCATGTAAAACAATAGTCTATTTTTTATTTTATTATAATCCTAAGTAACAAAGAAACAACCTTAATGAATATTTGAATCTATTTATGTCTCTATACATTTAAATTCACTTCAGTTTTGTTATTGTAATATATATTATTTTTACATGGTTTGTAATCACTATATTTTTAATTTTGCTTTTTTCACGTAATAGTATTTTATATATACATTTCCATGTATTGATACAGTCCACACGTTAATTTTTATAGAATCATATCTTTTTTGAAAACTATAGTTAGTAGACTTTTTATTTGTAGCTATAGGGTACTTCTGTATGTGTATAGGTTTGCACAGGTACTTCTGTAAGGTTAGGCGCTGAGTGGTTTCAATTTTTCCTTATTATAAAAGTGCTGTAATTCTTTTCCAGGTTGGAACGAATGTTCATAGTTATAAAGCTAACCTGAAATAAGGATTTAGAAGGTATTTCTGTATCCTGTGTGGTCACAGCCTGTTTTATTTTTGTAAACATTGGAAGACCCCTTAATGCAAGGATCTGTTTTACATTTGAACTAAGGTTCTTGAGCTTTGCTCCCAAAGTATTTTCCACAGAACTTTACGCAGCTTCCGCAGAAGTGCTTCCTGCTGGCCTGTGGATCATTCTTGCTGCTTAAGATGAAAAGTATTGATTTTTTAAATTAGAGAACAAAGTATATATTAAACATTTTTTCCTATGTTCATGCAAAGGATGTAGTTAAATTTTTTCCACAGGCTATTGCTTATATATATTCTTGCAACATTTCCAGTTAAGAGGCTATTAGGAATATAATTGCCTTCGTCACTGAATGTCATGGGGTCTTAAGGCCACGGGGTACTAGCTTGGAAGCACAACTATCCAGGGACATTGAACACACTAGTCTTGGGCGTCATCTTGCTTTTGATTTTCTGGTTTTTAGTTTCCAAATTGTAAGTGTTCCCCCTTTGGGGCAAATTCTTATAAAAATGTTTATTGTAAAGTTATATATTTTGTCTACAATGGGATTATGCACTTCCCCAGTTGGGATTTTACATCAGGATTTTTAGTCATTCTAAAAAATACCTAATTATGAAATAAAAATATGTATGGGTGCCTACTGCGTGCATGGATTACTTATGAGGTATATTTTGAATAACAGCATATTGTCAGAAGAAAGGTGAATAAAACTTGACATTGGATTTTAAATTGACAGTCTGTCCATTGTATTATTTACTTTTTTTGAGAGATAATTCCTGTCATCAAATTCACTCTTTTAAAGTATGCAACTAGTTTTGTTTTGTTTTTTAAATCATGGTAAGAAAGATCTAAATGGGAAACATCAACCTCAGACCCCTCTGTTCCCCTCCCTACCTCCAGTGGCAAATACATGTAACTTTTTAAAACTCTACTGTTACATTGTATTAAAAGGGAATAACTGACTTAACCCAGCTGCGTGCTTGAATTACAAAAGTAACATGATTCAATATGAAAATAAACTGTCCACAGATCTCTGACAGTAATAAGTTGCAACGCACAAATGCATACAGGGGTCACGCAGGGCAACAAACTCTTGCAAGAAATATTTTAATGCCTTTAAGATCAGTCAGGAAAAGGGCCGCGGCCAGGACGAGCGCCTCAGTCGCGCGC